CCCTAAAAAATGGTAAGTGTAAGGGTCCGCTTCTATCCGTTTCCGTGGATTTGTCCCGGCACCATGTCGTGCCTAATGGATATACGGCAGGTCTACATCCAAGGCCAAGATGGATCCCAGCACAGGATAGCTCTGGGTGGCGCCTCCAGCCTCTGCGCCACACCTTTTCAAAAATCTGAAATCTTCACGGAATGGGCCAGCAAGTAATCGGCAATGATTTAAGGACCAGCAACTCCCTCAGAATTTTTCTGTGCTCTCATGTAGGCCTCTGCCTGTGCCTAGCAGTCCAGGAAACCCGAACAGTTCCTCAGGTCCCTGGATAGGCCGTTGAAGTCAAGTAGCTCGACGGAAGTCTCCGTAGTGCACTGTGAAGCTCTGCCTATCGTTGAAGTGCTCTTGTGGAACGCTTGAGATCCGGAATCCCAGGCCATTTAGGAACTACTTAACTCTTCCATAATTGGTATTTCGATGGAGTCTTACACAGTTTTAGGGAATGCGCCTAATTCAGACCTGGGCTGGAGGTCATGGGTGATACAAAGCTTCTGGCAGTCGAAAGAGTCTGAAGCTTTCTCCATCAGCACCCAAATAAGGAGTTGCCCGAGCAGAAGCCTCCTCCAGAGTCCTTTAACACAGCCCCGCAGTCCGCTACATAAGGATCATTTCAGAGATAGACGTTGAACCCATCAAACACCTTGATCTACAGTAACCGTTGACCTACAGTATGCTTCGAATCAACTCACAACGTACTGACCCGTTATCCTTCGAGCTATGCGAGGCTAAACCTTCGATCTACAAAGCTTCGCTCTGCTCACTCCAACCATCATCACTCGGCGCGATTGTTTACCCGCCTGGAGTGTCGCGAAAAATGAAACTCTCGACAAAGTCGACGAAACAATCGCATTGATTCATTGATTTTTCCCGAGTGCCAATCGATAAGGGGCAGTTGGGAACATTCCCAAACAGGAAAAGCTGTCTACAGATAGGCTGGTGCCAGATAATGGATCCCCTACGTGACAGAATCTTCGTGGTACAGTAGTCCAATGTAAGTTGAGTTGAGTGCAAACATTCCTGCCCTTGCGAAGCGAAAGTTTATGCAGAGGTACTCCGAGTTGGCCGCAGCGGCTTTCAGGGCAATAGCGTTTTCCTGAGTTTCAGCCATGACAAGAACAAATTGCATCGTTCGGACGGTCATTCGTCAAAGATATTTGGCTCGTATGCGGCAGCGGTCGGCTAAAGGCCGCCGCTGCAGGCTATGGTGGCGCACTTTTACCTCTCGATGCAACTGCAAAAGTGTTCACTGGAAGAAGCAAGGTGGATTTATGACTGGTCTGCAAAGAGAAGAAAGCTTTCAGGTTATTTTCGGAGGTAACCGATCAAAGAGCGGGTAGCTATTTCCACTGCTGAAGGCCTAAGTCTAAAATNNNNTNNNANNNTCGGNGGCANACATCCTGGAAATGTCTGAGGCGCACCCAGAGAATCTGGGTGGTAACTCATGCGGAAACAGGGTTAGGGTCTATGGTCTGAAAGAGATAAGCTCCGTTCAGCCTTGCATGGCAGCATTCAAACGCTATTGCCGACGAATAGAAATGTGGAAGCACAACAGATGGTGGCGCCGGATAACCCTTTGTATGGCCCATGGGGCAAATTATGCATGATTTGAGTTCTTCAAAGGTAGGTGTTCAGAGTGGTTCGAAGGTGGGAGAGGGAAGAAGGGGGGGGGGGGGAGAAGGAAGGGGGAGGAGGAAGGAGGGGGGGGGGAGCTTAAGTAAAACGAGAAAGCGCAGGCTTGTAGAATGGGCCAGGTCACCGCAAAGGTAGAGCACACATCCGAACATTCCTACAATCCCTGGTGAGAGTAGAGTGAAGGGCGTATCTCCAGGAGACCGGTCAATTTAACCCCTAATCGCTAAGTGGGAAGGTAGGGTCGATCTGCGTGTGTGAAAAAATCCTTAGAAAAGAGCACACCTAATCATTCATTCCATCAATCTTCTTAGACAACTTCATGGTTTTCGGGGTGGGCCAAGTCAGGGACTATAGAGTGGGAAAAAAGAAAACATATCGCTTGGTTGAACAACGTTCGCTGGAACAGCTGCCCACATTTCGCCTACCAGTGCTCTGTGGGCGAGTCGTACAATCGCCAAGACCCATGTTTTAAAGTGTTCAAAGAACGCTTTCGTTCACATTCTGCCACTAACCATAATTTCTTGAGCTAACGTTCTCCCGAACCCGTGTAAAACCCTCCCAGACAGTGCACTTTTGCCTACGGACACCTCCTGAACACTCAATGGACTCGGTGAAAAATCGCTTCGGCATCATTAGAGGCTCCTATGTGGTGGAGACGGCTAATCCTCAGGGCTCAATAACTCTTTACTGCGGCGTTGTGGCGCCTTGGACAGCCTCAACCTCGTGCTCCGTTTCGAAATAAAATGGGGGCAATTCGGAGAAAAGAGAGATCAATGAAGATTGCTGGAGAGCTCCAGTTGACAAGAAGTGATATGATAAGAGATAAGGGATCAATAAAGTAAATTGTGTATGTACCTTGTCCTTTTGCACCTGATCGATGGTAGCGGTCAACTCGATGACTTCGTGTTGGAGACGTTGACGTTCGCGGTCGATCCTGGATGATACTACTTATCAATTTTATCAGGATTATCTTTTGAGGTGGTGAGAAAACGCTTCTAGTTGATTAGTGGCACAGCTTAGGGAAAAAGTAAGGCTCTAAGGGCAATTCTAATACCCTTTGACTGATAGCTAGTGGGCTTGGACCTCAGGCATGGAAGGACATGACGTTCTGCCTTGTTCAGAGCAGGTCAGGGCTTCAATGAGCTTCCTAACAAACAGCTCTCTCAACAGGAGCAGAGGAACGGAGTTCGTAGATAGATCGTATAAGGCGCCCTCCATTTACCTAGCTTCTTGCCCTCTCCCCTGTCTGGCGGAACAAGGTTAGGGAGTTCCGTTCAAGAAGAAGGGGGTGGGGGTGTTTTATACAGCACTGGGAGCAGCGTAAATTATTAAGGAGTCTTCTGAATCCTCGAAAAAGCGCTGGCAACCCCTTCCCTTGCGTTGCGCTCATCTTTCCAGAGGTTGAAAATGAGTCTTCTCGTTTCTTACCCTTTCCCGTTTCTTTTCCTTCTCCCCTGGAAACCCTTTGCCTTCCCTGTATAACCTCGGTTTCCTTCCTGCTAAACTCCCACCCCGTGTGAATGTCCTCAGGGGTGGTTGTGGATATAAGCCAGCTTGTAGTCATGCGCCGCTCCAAACCTTGTGTCTTCCCTGAACTGCTGAACGTCCGGTGTTTCCGGCCGCGTTACTTCATCCACACACCCCTTCCAGGGTACATGGGTCAAATTTGAGCCCCGCGATGCATTTTTTTCAGAGATTCTCAATGATTTGTAAGCTTGCACTCGGCTTACACCAAGCGATCCGTTGACCTGGTAGTAAACTCAGCCACTAGTGGAAAGTGCATCGCATTTCAAATGGTTTGCGTAAGTCACAAGTGCGTGACTGGTGTGAATTTTGTCCCCCGAGACCTATGGCTCGTCGATCTGCAACCCATGACTTGCTGCTGCGCTTAAAACACTGCGTGTGTTGTTCGGAGCCGTCCGAGAAGGTCGTCATTACACCCTCGATGGATTCCTCGGAAGGTGGCTCTCATTGCCTCTGGATTTCTCCCTGCTCATCACTCTACACCGAGAGAACACCCCTCTCGTACTCTCCGCCACTAAGCCACTGTTTCGCGCCAATGAATGCGGTGGAGTTATTCAGTCAGAGGCAATGACTGTGTAAAAGGGTCGCGGGGCGCGGCCAAATTCAGCGCGTGCATCGGCTTCAGCGGCTCGATTGGACGAGAGGGAAGGTGAGTGGTTTAGATGTTGAAAGTAACGCAACGATAATTGGAAGATCTGCCATGATTATCGAGCGAAAATCAAACGATTTGGTAAAATGGGGTGGAGAAGAGCTCAGGATGGTTACGGGCTTACTTGGCGTTCTTCTTCTGCAGCTGTTCGACCTGATCCTGATAGTCGAGGCAAGCATCCTGATGCTTCTTACGCAGCACATTCATTGCATCTTCGGATTCGAGTTGCGATTCCTCAAGCAGCTTACGCAGCTTGATCAGCTCACCCTCGCGTTTACGGTTCGATTCGATCTGGAAAATCGATATATCGATTGGATCGTCAGAAACCATAGAATAAATGCAGTAAATCTATTATTTCAACTACAAGAACCTAGATATCTTTGCGGGCGGTGCGGAGCATGTATTCGCTATCCTAATCATCTACAATTTATTGACTACTGTAAGGAAACGAAGATTAAATACTTAACGATCAAGCTATTAGTTCGTAGTAATCTTATATCAATTCGAATCTACAAATTTTCAAATGAAAGTATGAAGGCATGGCGCCACACCAAGATTTAGTTCTTACTGTCTAGGGCTCAAGTCCTAATTGCCCTAAGCAAATAATTAATTTTCAATAAAATATCCGAATTGAACAAGAATATTGATCCATATCGATTACCTGGCTGTCGGTCGTTCCTTCGGCATCTTCGAGACGATCGGTGAGGGCGATCAGTTGAACGCTAAGATCAGCACGCTCACGTTCGATCTAAACGAACACATAGATTTGTTTTTTGACCCTTCTTTATGTTAATCAATTTACACACATAGTTGTCATATATGATTACCTAGGTAAAGTGAATAAGTAAATCTAATAAAAGATGCTATTCGAGCGCACTAGAAAGGACACCTATGAGCATATAATAATCTCTAGTCAAAAATAACGACAGAAAAAATAAAAAAATTGTAGAATTTCAAAAGTTCTCAAATGAAGAAAACAAAGTACTATATGATCGCGGATCAATATTTATCTTTTGTATTAGGAGTAAGTACTCACTCTGTTGCGGAGTTCCCGCTCAGACTCGAGATCTTCCTGGAGGAGTCGGATCTTGTCCTGAAAATATTTAGGTTTAGAGTGTCCCTATCGGACGAACATCCACCCCTATCTTCCTAGAATAACCCCTCTCTAGGTCCTCAGGTCCGGGTTGGCTTGAAAGCCTGAGATCCTTTTCTGCGGAGCTAAGAGGAGATTAATGAATCACTTCCATTAAGGGATCATCATGTTCTAGCTCATTGTGATTGGCATTTCTACTGCCAAGGAGGATTACGATATAAATCCACTTGGGACCGGTCACGTACCTCGAGACGAGTCAGTGAGCCGAGATCGGCGACCGACATGCTGCCAAAAGGGGCGCCAAAGGCGCTCATGGACGGCGACTTGTATACAGCGGCCGATGAGGGCGATCTGTACAAGTTGGCTGACATGGTTGATATGGGATAGTTGGGATCGCAGTTGAGTAGTAGTAGGAATTCGAAGGGGCTAGATAGGAGAGCTCGCTATACACACCCGGCTGGCTGTGGCTGCTGCAACTGACACACGACGGCTGCCTGGTTGGCTGCTGCTGGCTGGCTGGCTGCGACTGGGGCTGGGGCTACTGAGCGGGGCGACGATTCACGGCCGTACCCGCTGTAAAGCTCGAATCCCGAAATATCCCTCGCTGCGCTCCGTTTCCTCCCCCACACACATATACACACACACCGTGTCTCGAGCGCCTCCCACTCGGAAAAAAGAGATCGCCGCCGGTGCCTCTGCGTCTCTGACCGGGCGGCTTCTGCTTCGCGCACCCTGGCCACGCTGCGCTCTCGCCGCGCTGTCCAGGCCGTCAGTCCCGCCCCCATGTCCATACAAGGAAGGCTGAATTCCATGCATCAACGACACAGCATGTCCACGTATCCCGCTCTTCTGGAGCCCGTCTGTCGTCGACGGCAACTTCCGCCGACCCCGGTTTCCCCGTTACGACGCTCCAGTAGTCCCCGTATTCTGCCAACCCCACCACCGATCTCACCCATCGATGTAAGTCGTTGTCCATCAGCAGCTCTATTGGAACGACGAGCATCGGGTCGTATTCTGCCACGACCACCTACGGCTGATCTGCCGCCGATGCCATGTTCTGCTCAGACTTCGCCTTCACCTATTCTGACTCCAGAACCAATTCCTGAACTACCTATTGAGGCAGACCCACCCGAATCGCCTCTGATTCAGCGATTCGGTGATTTTGCATCGCTTGACCATGACACGCCCGATGGCACTCGATCTCAATCCTCGTCACTTTCTCCGTCAATAGAGCAGGTATGTGCTGCGCTTAGTCAGCTCATGATCATGATGTAGAGGGCAGTTGAGCAACGCCAACGAGGTGGGGCAATGTGCGCACCACACGACAACTGTTCTTCCGTCATAGCTGCGTGGCTGCTAGGCGGAAAGTTATTGCAGCTGCACACAACCCGTTGAACCGGGGACCAGTTGTAGTACACGTCGTCGGAGGGGGCTATTGTAAACTGTGCAGGTGTTCGTTTTGAGGAGGATTCTCGTAACTGCTTACTGCTACTTCCGCTGTTACCATTCCTAGCCGTAGCTGACAGCTGCACGAGCTTAACTTTGCTCGGAAGCTGCTCTTATCCAGTTTACATTAATCCTATGTTAGTCATTATCTCGGCCTAGATTGCTTATCCCTTCCGGCGCGAAATATGATCGTGCTGTGGGTTTGTCGTGTTATGGCAACATAACTAACACATATCGCTCACCAACTCTCAATAATTCATCTGTAGACGTCACCTCAACCGATGCTTTTGAAGCTTTTGACACTTAAATTCTCCCTTGGTAAGCTCCTAGGACAACGGAGGGAGCGCTGTATTCCCACAGGGGCTGAGGGTAAGATCCAATAAGTTTTCTCACAGCAGCACACTACAAACACAACTATTGCTTGAGGCTAATTAGTTGGTGGAAAACTTCCGAGTGAAGCCAGTAAAGGCAAAAGAACCAACGGAGTTGGAAGCCAAAAAGTCATCAAGGAAGCAGCGTAAAGCTTCTTCTGACTAACCGGCTCTCAGCAGAAAGGTTTCTTTCTTGTTGTCGAAGAAGCCATTCGGTAAAAGCTTCTCTGAAAAAAAACCTTGTTGCTCATTTAATTTCCGCCAAAGGCCAGGCCGGCAGACAGCACGACGGCGCTTCGTTTAGTATAATTCCTGCACTTTTGCCTGATGACCCCATGACGATGATGTGGTGCGCTTTTCTGGGCTAGCGGGGCTTTTAAATCAACTAATCAGACCTACATTACAGAAATTTCGAATTCCCGAGGGTACTCAAGCGTTTTCCTCATTGTTGTTTATACTTGCCTCAAAGATCCCCCGAATTCAGACGCATAATCGTATTTTGACGCAGTGTGTGTGGCAAGCGATTTTCCACTTGACGCGCTACTTACTCAGCTTGTGATTTCCATTCACACGGCGGCTTCTTATCTGTGAGGCTTACATAACAATTCCAGGAAGTAGTAAGTGACTGGAGACCGAGAGAAAACACAGAGTGAATGAGTGATCCTTGGAGGGTCATTACCCTATCTGGGAATAGCGGAGTTCTTGGAGTACAAAGTCATTAATTGCCTCGGTTAGAGAGCCTAAGAAGGGCATACGGGGCTCAGTCAACTTCGTGCCAAGTCGCGCTGATCGAATCTTGGCCCAGGTTTCTTCTAGGTTCTCTTTATTTGAAGTTATACTTGTCAATTTGGTACATGATAAGGAAGTTACCACCGGATTCTTGTGTTGAAATAGGCCTGCGACCATTACCCAGGCTCCTACAAACTACATTGGTTAGCGCTTGAACACATCGAGCGCAATTCTGGCACATTGCTTAACCCCCCCCCCACAACCCATGGCCCAAAAGTCATGTCATACATACCCGGACGATTTTTGATGCATAGCTCCAGGACATAACCCGCAACCAATGTATAGCAGCTACCTCTGTCAAGATCCAACAGATCCATGCGCATACCCACGAGTAGCCCACAGCCCAAAAATCTTGTAATCTGTACCCGAGTTGAGGAATTTTCACAACTGTCAGTATGAAAGGGTCAACCGTCGCAAATTTCCAGAAATTTTTTGCGACGTGTGCCTTACAGGAGAGCTTCGATGCGACACCCCCCCCCTTTCCACCTCTACCATCAGTCTTAGAAAGCTCCCCCAATGGTTGTCCCCCTCCTTCTACCGGTTACCCCGACAGCAACCTTTGTTATCATGGCTGTTTCCTGATTCGGTGACCGGACTACATGCTTGAAACTCGAACTCACGACCAGCTGCCCACTTTTCCCTCCAAAACGGCCATCGAATGGAAACGGGGGGGGGGGGGTAGATTGGTTAAATTGGTAAATTGGTATAGATCGGTATAATAAACTTATGAAGCTTTCGCACTTAACCTCACCTTGCTCAACCCCAGATGCAATCCCACTTTTCAACCCTCTCGTCCGAACAGTGCGAACAGGACGGTTGATTCTGGTCTGGGGCCGGGCAGCAAGCCCCGGCGAGGGGATGGGTCCCCAAAACTCTGCATCTATTCTTGATCACCAGGGTTGCGTCATTCACCGGAGCAGAGGCGCGGTTTTGGGGACCCATCCCCCGGTCAGGGCTTGCTGCACCAGGCCCCTGAAGTTTGCCGGGATTATCCTATAAACTCTCCTTCTACCAGGTTCTATCATGATACATATAATTTTACCCTATCGCAGTACTGAGACCTGCCTCTTATAGATTTGTTTTCGATTTTCTATATAGTCTTCAAAGACATGTTAAGGGGAGATTTTTTCTTCGTTTCGTCAAAGTACAAACTTCTCTATTGTCCTTTAGCACCTGCTGTTCATCTCTCTAATGCTTTCATCCAACTTCGGAGCTTCTAGAAATTGCCCTGTCGTCTTGTTTTCTAAAGAGCAGATTATCCCCCTCCGGCGATAACTACTTCAATCTCCAAAGGGCAATTCGTTTTCAGCTTTGCCTACGGCAATGTCGCGTGATTTCCATATTGAGAGAAGCGTGTTCGATGTGTTTAGCCGCGCCGGAAACGTGAAAATGCTGCTCCAGTGAATAAATAGTGAAACTTGAAAGTGCCCTCCATAAGTTCTTAAATGGGCCACGGTTTACACTATGGGGTTGTAGAGCAGAGCTTAAGAGATCCACAGGAACGAATCGCCAGCCCGATACGTCTAAATAGGGATCGTTGTGGTGTTGGTCATTTACTTCTTAACATCTCCTCGTCATCAAAACCAGTTAGCCTTAACCTGGGAGAGAGAGACCATTTCCACTCTTGCCGGGGGGTCTGACCCCATCCTAAGCTTGTCCTAGAGAAATGCCCCCGTATATTGCGATAGTGCCCGAATAGCTGTTGAACTTGTTGAGCCATCAATGACTCATCAGTTCTTAGTACTTTGAAAGAAAATCGCTCTTGGACGATGGTGCCTACTGCGTCGGTTGGTCGCGCTTGTTCACACGGCTGATTGCTAAAATCAATCAGTCTTCAGAGCAACGATCGTCGAAGAGCTCGAGCTGTTGTCCGTAGAAAAACCTTAGTTCGTGGGTGCCCCATATGTTCAGAAAAACGACAGTTGACGAAAGCTGTCCAGCTTTATCGCCCAAATGACTCAGTGTGGGTGTGGTAGGCTTTAAACAACGCTCTGAAGAATCTTTGGGGATAATGCATCATTAACAGCCAAAAATTTATCCTTCTACTCCAGGCATCCGGCGTCTTCCGTCTATAAAGCCTTGTACATGGACCATTCAGGGGCTTTTATCTCCAGCATCCTCAAAAGGGGTTGACCAAATTCGTAATTTTCAACGGCAAGCTATATGCACCATCAGCCCCTTAGGCAATGTTTAAATAACCTCCACATCCTTTTTGCTGCGAGAATGCGAGTGGCTAGGAGTGTAGACTCATATCTGCATCCCTGAGAACTGCAAGTTCGGTCCTTGCTGAGGCTCGAAAGCATGCCCTGCAAAATTGCAAAAATGGTTCTAGTACCAGCATCAGGCCCAGGTTAACAGGCCGGCTGATGAAAGACTCTCCCTTGTCACATCCAAACATATTGAAACTCGCAAAATATCAGTAAAAGCCAACACAACTCACTGCTCCCAGGTATTTATCGCAAGATACCCCCCCCGCGGCAATTGTTGGTGGTCATCTTGAAAACGTCATAAAACATCTCTTTATCTAAACCGGAAGATCGGCCTAAGGGAAGAGGGGCTCTAGGGTGAGCGGGCAGTTTTTATTTTCTCTAATTTTTCTGCTTCTAGGCTAGTCTTAGAGGATGCCCCCGCGTCTTGCGATAGCGCCGAACTTTGATGTGGGCTTTGGGGTTAACGTTATATGGACATGCTGCGATGCTTAGAAATTTTTGGGATTTGTGTGTTTCTTTTTTGAAAACTTTGGGGGCATCGACCCGTTCGCCCCGGAGCGAAGAAGTTCTCCATAAAGGACTGTTGCGGTCCTGCTATACTGATAATAAAAGCCGCTTTCACTAAAAACCCCTGAAAATTCAGGTCGTACCCCCCAAAAGTCCCTCGAGAATCAGAGAGGGTCCTAGCCCTTTGTGCAACTTCGTGTTCTTAGCTAAGGATTCTCTCATAGAGTCCGAGGATAATCAAGGCGGCGACGGAGGTAGCCAAGACAATCTCTCAGTAACACCCGGAAGTAGCCACACCACAATTACGGCGATATCGCCCTCGATAAACCTAGCCAAGTCATAAGCGGTTTGAGTGGAGCAACTTGGGCATTTCTCTGCTAACGGATGACATTGGCGTGATCGTAAACCCTGCTCATCCATCCGGCATCAGCTCCGAAACAATTCGCCTTAAAAGCGGCTCCATAGTCGAGATCGATAGCGGCATGGATTAAGTAGCCTTAATTACGTCATCGTCCTCGAAACGGTAAGATTGTTCGGCCAAGAGATTCATTGCCGACGGGAGTTTTCAGCCGAGTGGGCCTTCATGAATGGCGAAGAGGGGTAAGGCCTTTCGATGGGGTCGAAAAAAAAATCCTAACGATCTGTAAAAGCGAGTCAGGCGGGAGGGAAGGGCTCTCAGCTCTTCCCTTGGCCGAATGTAGTGATTCAAATCCTCCACATAGAAAATGGCAATGGGAGCTGCGCCTTCTGCGTTCCATGACCCGATGAAACGAAGGCATCATAAAGGATATATGAGGGTGTGACCTCAATTCGACCACCCGTTTTCAAACCTTTCAACGACTGTATTTTATGATAGCTTCTGACCCGCCCCGTCAACATCAACCTCACAAGCTCTGGGAGTCGTTCAGCTATATGAGAAGATTGTTCCTTCACCCTGGAAGTGTCTGGGATG